AGCAGAATATGTTTGGCTCCTCTGCTGGGGGGGAGGCAGCTGTAATTGCTGTGTAACCTCTTCTCACTGGGTAACTTGATCACTGCAACAGGCGTACGCCAGGGTAAGTGGTGGTGATCCCAGGCCAGCTAGGATTTAAAGCATGCCACCTGCTCAGCAACTCCTTTTCTTTGATTTTGTTTCTGGTGCCATCCTGCCCAGTGATACCTTTGAAAGACTGCATTTTCAGCTTCATCTGTCAGCACTTCTCTCCCAGGGCTCATCAGCAACAAGCTCTCACCTTCCTGAGTGCTTTGGTTCATAAGACCCTCCTTTCCTGTGTCTTTCTTGTGAGTCCTCTGAATTTACCCTCGCTGTGTCCAGTGGGGCAGGTTTTCTGTGCTCCATGTCTGCCAGGGTTGCTCTTCCCTTCTCTGCCTCCAAAGGAAAGGCCCCTCAGGAGCAGCAGTCAGCACAGCAGCCAGTGGATAGAAAATCATTCCTGGGAACTTCTGGTTTCTTTTGGAGGTGAGCTGGCTTTGTTTGTGTAGGCTTAATGGCCTGACAAGAGACTGTCTGCGGGAACTGCAGCAGTCCCCCTGCATATGACTCCTGCTTCTGGGAGAAACAGCCCTGCTGCTCTCATCTGATGCTGTGGTGCAGTGCTGACTCTGTTCCCCATCCCCGCTTGTCCAGCAGCAAAGCGATTAATTTTCCAAGTGACATCGTCGATTGAACCCTTTAAATTGGGGCACTAGAGATGTAATTTAGATTAAGCTAAGGTTCCAGCTGCAGGGGAGACACTTAAAACATGCAGTGCAATTCTGCCTTCTTCGTAGAGCATTTCCTTCTATGCCTGGAGACCCTTTCAGGCGCTACCGGGGTGCAAAACTCTTTTGTTGCAAGAGAAGGAGGGAGCCTGATGGAGATGGGCACAGTAGCTGAGCAGAGCTGGCTCCTCAGGCACCAGGTGGTGAATTAACCCTGTCTCACGACCCAAAGTGGTGCAGTGGATGTCTCTGAGCAGATGGGGCAGGGAATGCCTTCTCTCGATGTCTCTTTTATTCCTAGGAAACCTCGCAATATGCTTTTCAAATCCGCTGTTCCAGAAGAGCAACTAAGCACGTGCTGAACTTTGATCAAGCCAATGTTGGTGTTAATAAGTTACAAACTAACCCAAGTACTCTGCAGGAGCCGAAGGCAGCCTGGGGGAAGTTCCCTGCTTTTCCATAAGAAGCACCTTGTTACAGTCCCTCCTGTTCCCATCAGCTTCATTAACTCAGGCAGCCCCTCCAAGCTTGGATGCCAAAACAGCTCTTGTATTAGTTCAGCTCTGGGCTGATGCAGCCAGTTCTCCAGCTGCTGGAATGCCACTCTGCAGGAACACCAGCTTGGTGCTGGCCTGGGGAGCAGAGGTGCCATGTCCCCGTTTGCTGGGGGAAACAGGGAGATGTCATGGAAGAGGCATGCAGAGAGGCCAGGAGCTCTGCTGTTGACCTCCTGCCCAACTCCGGTCTTTCCTCTTTCTTTGACTTTTTGCAAGATGAAGGCCTTTTGCTTATATCTGGCTTTTTGCTTATCTGCTCTCACAGTCTCCTCTTATTCAATGGCTTTGGGACAGACTGCCTTGCTTCTGCAACTTAGATGTTACTGGAAATCTCTTGTCCACTGAGCTCAATGTGATTCCTGCTTAGGAAGCACCAATATACTTTACAAGAGCTGCTGAGGCTTCACTCTGAAGCAGAAAAACTCAAAGAAGGAAGTGATGCTGTTTATATTTGTGGTTTCTACCTTTTTTTTTTTTTAAAGTAGGAACTTTACAGTTTTCTTTAGCAAAAATGTATTGCTGAAGAAAGCTTGTCTGGAGACCTCCTTGGTGGTGGCCATAGAAGCTTTTTTGCAAAAAACTACTTAGAATTTTTTTGAAATATAGCAAATACAATGAAAAAATGGGAAGAGAAACTGAACTTTGGGTAGTGTCTTCCTCTTTAATGGGACTTCTTAGTACCAGCACCAGTTTTCCTAGCACAAAACTGAGAAATTGACTCTTTATTAGTATGTTGCCTCCTCACCATCCCTGTCCCTTATTGACACCCTCAGGCTCCATCAGCAGCATCCGTACAGTAAGTTTCCTTATGCTTGTTCCTGGACTCTGTTGTTCTCTGTGCCAGAGCTCCCAGCACTGCTGTCCTGAGAGTGGAGCAGGCACATGGGGGCTCCTTTGTAGTCCTAGGTGTCATTCCTCAAGAACAAACTTTTCCCTGGGATTTGGATCTTACCTTTCTTTCTTTGCTTATGCCCCATTTGCCATATTGTTTGAATGAGACCCACCTTGCAGGTGTTCCTGTGCATGGCTAAGATTGGATGTGTGAGCAGTGCTGGCAGAGAGCTGAGAGACAGCTGAGGGGAGACAAGGCAGGCACGGCACAAGCCAGTGCGCTGAGTCCAGGTGAGCAGTACCTCTCTTTGGGTCTCTCGCTGGATATGGTCCAGCTACAGCTGCTGTGGGACCAGGCAGTGCTGTAGTCCTTTGGGCAAGGGCATGGGAATCATGGGGACACCCTCCTCCCCGCACTGGAGGGACTGGCTTTCCCCTTCTTCTCTCTGTCCTGGTCATTCCAATGGCAGTGTGGAGTGACAGTGGGAGGAGAGCTGAGCAGTGTGCTGCAGCTGGGGACTGACCCCTTGGGAGGGCTTGGCAATTACAGCTCTGCCCTGAGACAAGGCAATCTGGGTCCTGCCACCAGCCCGGCAGGACTTGAGGGGCTGCAGGCTGCAGCCACAGACGTGGCTAGGACGTGGGTGCCACAGCCACCACTCGACAAAGCAGTGGAGGTTTGGCAGAGGTGTCTGTGCTGCTCCTAAGGCTGGGAGGGATACGGGTGGCGCGATGGGTGCTCAGTGCATCCCAAAGTCTGTACTACCAGATCCGCTCCCTCATGCAGCTTAGCCAGGCTCACCAGCCTTTGATCAGCGTTGGGAGGTGTTAGGGCAGCCCTCACAACCCCTCTGCAGGAGCCGGTGACCATTCCCCACCTCCCAAAGACATCACAGGATCAGTCTCTGGAGGGAACAAGAGGTGGTCAGGAAGGGGCTGTTGGATTCCCCATGGGCGTGGAGAAACACCCGTGCCCCTGTTGCTCTATCTGCAGTGCTCCACAGGCCCCTGCTCCCTACCTGCCCTCTGGGGCAGGAGGAGCGCAGGCCCGTGGGCCAGACGGGGCACGTACAGCAGGGCCACTTCTCACATACGAGGGCTCCCTTCAACAAAGCCGTGTCTGTCCTGCTCCCACTATTTCTGCCTGTGCGGTTGGGGACTGGGGGGGTGGAGGAGCACAAAGGACCCCAGACAATAGGGCGAGCGGGAGCATTCCTCACACCCATGGCGGCAGGCAAATGGGCTTTGTCTCCAGCCGATGCCTCCCTCCGTTCGGGGGGCAGTCGCTGCCGTCCGTCCTTCCCTGCTCCTTTGTTCCCGCTCTGCTGCCAGGGGTGAGACAGGCAGGTGAGCGGCGCGCAAGGCAGGGGGCTGGCAACGTGCGGCGGCGGCCGCATATTAATGGATTTCTCCAGCCTGTCGCTGGGTGTTTGACTTGATTCATGAGACTCCTCCGTCGGATGCGGCCGGCAGGGAGAGAGAGCAGGGAGACAGCTATTGTCTGCAGGCTGGGGCCTGCCGGTGCTGCTCCGGTGGCTGCCACCGCCGCCCCCAGCCGCAAAAAGCACTTTGCACCTTTGCCCCGATGTCCTTCCCACTCGGGGTGTCCGTCTGTCCAGGGTGGTGTGAGGTGGGACCGTCTGGTACCTGCACACCATGCGTGTTCCTGCGGTGTGAAGCTGCGCTGGGAAGGCAGGCAGGCAGGCAGGCAGGCATTCCCAAACACAACCCCTCGGAGTGCAAGAGCGTCACACTCCAGTCTCAACGGGCTGGGCTGCTCGCTGCTTGTGCAGCTGGAAAAGCTTTCACCCAATGTCTTAGTGACACCAGGAAAAAGCTTCTGATGCCTTTTTTTTTTTTATTTTTTTATTGCAGCTGTAGATTTTACACTACATTTTATGCTTGGCTATAATTTTGAAACAAAACAAATAGGCAGCTGGTGGACAGGTATCAACCAGGCAGCGATCAGCTTCTATCTTGAAAAGCCTGATTCAGGTACAGCATTTGATAATGCTCTTTGTGGGAAGGGCGTGGATAATAATAGCAGAGAAGGAAAACAAACTGGATGGAGCGCACTCCATCATGCTGACAAAGACCTGGATTGTACATGCCGGGGTGCAAATAGGATTGTTTGCATATTCAGCTGACTCTATCTTCCCTTTTGCCCATCCCTGAACGTCGGTGGTGCCTGAGCTCCTTGGGGAGCTGTTTGAGTTGGGGGGACAAATGTGTGTGGGGGAGGGGGGTAAAGGAACATGTGGAGGAGGAATGAGAGCAGAGAGGGTGCTGCTTTCAGGAGCTACAATAGAAAAGGGCTAGCTGGTGGGAAAAATGCTCCGGGGATAGAGTTTATCGGACTGAATATAGGAAGCTACAGATGAGCTTGTCTGTCAGACTTCCTTTTATAACCCTGACATGCAGTTCATCTCACTCTGCAGAGCAAAATAAAGGTCCCAGGTTTGATTTTTTTTTTCTTTCTTTTTCTCAGCTGTCAAGGAATAAAACTGAACTGAGGGGGAAAGGAGCATTTATTCCCAGCAGGAAAAGAGAGGAACGCTGAAATGAAGGATTTTCTCCAATTATAGCACTCCTCAGGCAGCAAACCCACCTCTGGGTTTCCAGCAAACCTACCAGGCCTACAAACCAAACCAATCAAGTAATGTCAAGGTGTATTTACTCTCCTAGTAACCTGCTGACCCATTCCCTGTCTGTACCATGCTAGTGGCTCACAAGGATGCACCCCAATGCTGTGTGCTGGGAAGGGGCACAGCTGTGAGCCCAGGTGGGGCAAGGTGACTGAATGGCTCCCAACTCCCGCTCTCCATCCATCATAGCATGGAAAGGGGGTGCTGAAGAGGAGCCTGTGTTGGAACAGTGGTGCTTGGGGACTGTGCCTGTCCTTTGTGCTGGCTGCTCTCAACGAGGCAGAAAATTAATTGTAAAGAGGAACTCACACACACCTGCCTGCAGCTGAAGAGCAGCTTGTGTCAGAGATCACCTAGACTTGACTGCTGTCAAATACTGGCTGCAAGTGAGATGGGTTTCCTGAATGCTGTGTTTTACTTGGTGACATATCCTGAACCTTTGGGAAGAGCTTTTTCAAATAAGCTTTTCTCAAGTTTTTTGCAGATGTCTTTTTTTTTTTTCTTTCTTTCTTCTTATAAGGAGTACTAGGCTATCACAGCATTGGAAATGCTGATAAATTGGTGTAAAAGTCTTGTCTGCTATTCCTTTCCCTATCTAATGTTCATCTCTGCACTGTCCTCAGAACATGTCCTGCCCATAGTTGCTCTGTTAACTTGTCCCTGCTCATAACACCCTGCACAAAAACCACAACTGGGTGCTTTTTGGTCTGATTAAAATCACGCTGTGCAATAGGAAATACAAATTAGCTCTGGCCTTTGGGCTCCTGACAAGTTTCCAGTGCTGCTTTCAGCACCACGCAGATTGTGTAACTCCATCCGTGCGTCCTCCGTGTGGTGACGTCTCCCCCTCCGTCATGAGCTGGGCTGGCTGCCACACATCCAGGTTCAGCTGTTAATACTTCAAGCAGCTTTTAGAACTGAAGGAGGAAGAGAGATTGCCAGCAGCCTTGTGAAATGCGGAAACCAGCTTTTTCTTGCTAGGAGACAGTGTGGGAAGGGGCAAAAAGAGGGTTTTTTCTAGGTAATTCCCCAAATCTTGATGTTTGTGCAAATACCTCCCTGTCTAATGAGCAATTGGGGAGCTCAGCACCAGGACAGCCAATGCTTCAGTACAGGATTAACCTCTGAAGGAAGAGCACAGTAGCATCTTATACAAACTGTGGCTTAAGTTTGCCTGGCCATGAAGCACACAGCACTTTCCTGCCTCCTCCAAGGATTCAAGCCAGGCAACTATGTTGCATCATTTCAGCATTGCTAACAGAAGGGCTCAGGCAGCAGCTACCGTGTCATGCCTTCAACAGAAACCTTTAAGTCTCGGCAACTTCCTCTGAGGATGCTGAAGCAAACACTGTCCAGACCTGCAAGTGAACAAGTTACAAATGACATCTCTGGTTCGAAATGGTGCGTGGGCGCGACGTGGGTGAATGTTCCCTGCCCTGGGTGTTTTCTAAAGGTCTCTGAAGCATGAGGCATGACTGAATGACTTGTGTTTTCTTTAAATGACGAGTGGGTGAATCTTGAATCATTGGTCTGCTTTTATTTTTGTTAGATGTGTGTGGGCTGACAACATGACTCAGTATTTTCTCTGCAGATGCAAAGATCGTACTGCCAATTCTCAGTGTGCTTCAGACAGTTTCACACAGAGAACTGGAATGCTTTTTCAGTCCAGAGCTTTGCTTTTCGGCAGTCTTAAGCCTCTTGATGTGAAAATAAATAAGTAATTTTAAAAATGAGTGCTTTGCCAGAATCTGCAAAAATACACCGAAGAAATGGCCAAACATGGGGAAAGTACCTCTACCTCAATGTTTCCCCAATAATTTGTCTGATTTTTTTCACGTTATTCTGGAAATGGCCATTAACATCTGATTTCTCTTTGTGATTCTCCCTAGCCTCAGTTGCTGCTGGGCCATCTCTCTGTCTGCTGAGTATAATCTCTGGTGTTTATTTAACCACCCTTGGCCTGCTGGGTGAGAGCCACCATCCTCGGACTGATGGCTGTGAGTTCTTCCCTCCTCTCAAGAGACAAATAGGCATATTTGTGAGTACCTGTATGTGGTTCAGACAGAAGTTCCAGAAAACGTTCCTTTCTCCCTTCTGGCAACCTCCCTGCCTTGCTCCCCCTTCTTTATCCTTCCTTTATGCCATGTACAGCATATGGCACGTGCTTTGGGAGATATGCAAGGCCAGGCATGGGCTTTGGATGCTTTTATTGTGCAATGGTGAGTGCTCTCTTCTCCCATATCCTCTTTGCTGATGTGCAGTGTGCTGGTAGTCACGTCCTTGATAAGAATGGCTTTCTTGCTAAGACCCTCATCTGTAATCATAGCCCAGCATCTTACTGCCAGCAATAAACCCTGCTGATAGCAGCCCTTAGCCCGCCCTGGAACCTTGCTGAAGATTTGTGAATGGCTAGAGAATGACAGACTAGTGGATGGAGGATGTTGCAGAGGAAAGGTTGTCTATGAAGATGATGTGACTATAGATTTGCTCTGTAGAGCATGCAGGGTGAAATGAATTCTGTACACTCTGTTTATTTGATTGCTAACTTCTACCACAGAAGAATTTTCACACTCAACCCCTAGCAATGTCCTCAGCTAATGTGACCTGTACTTAGCAGCAGGACCCAAACCCCACTATGATCCTGACTCTGTACTGACCCATACAACAGTGAGCCATACCTGGCCCATATATGCACAAGCATGTATTATAGTGCTAGGGAACTGTATCATCTTTCTATCATTCTAGTTGCTCAGTCCTAAGATTTACTCCCTATTCCTGGCATTTTCTCTACCTTCCACTGCCTACCCATGGCAATCTTTCACCGCAAGCTTAAGGCTGAGCACATCCACTATCCCTACAAACTTCACGGAAAGCCACTTGATGTGACTGGCTCAAGTGCTTTTGCAGCTGTATCTCATAATGACAAGAACTGGGTACCAGGCCTTATAATTTCTCCACAATCCTCACATTATTCAGGAATAATCCTACAATTTAAGCTCTTTTTACTCCACAGCCTAATTCCAGCCTTAAGCACAAGCTATCAGCCAGCACTCCTTGAAACATGAGCAGAAGCATTCTGCTTTACTGAGCACCAGCACTGAGGCTTGCCCTGAGGAGGAAAGAGGTGGTGCTCTTTAGTCCTCAGAATCCCAATCCCTAACCTTGACTTCAGTGTCTGAAGACCTGATGCTCTTTATCTCTATGCCTCTGAGTTCCAGAGCCACTCACCCCTGCCAGCCCCAGCCATGTGTTTCTAAGGTGTTGGCTAGAGTCCAGGCATGGGGGTGGAGGCATCCACTGGGACTTGCTGGGTTTAGGGGCTGGAAGTTCTGTTTGTCAGAAGTTGTGCTTGGTGGGGCAGGGCACGTATGGTGGAGTTTAGGGTGGAAAGATTATGGTTGGGCACAGCTTGAAGGATCAACTGGCTTACTCCAGCTGCTGAGGGGATGGTAGGCTGGGTGCAACCCAGAGCATGGGGCGAGGGGGAGTGTGACAGTGTCTGTACATGAGACAGACACTGATGGTGTGTTCCACTGATCACTCTCCTTTCTTAAGAAAGGCTTCTTTGCTCCTGCCTCCTTACTTCTCACTATGAGCTTTACTTTGCACTCTTAAGATCACAACTTCCTTTTTTTCAAAAAAAAAAAAATATTTTTTTCCTGTAATCAAGGCCTGTGAAGGGAAGCACCCACAGGGTGCTGAGATCAGCCTGCTGCCTCATTCTTTGCACTCTCATGGGTGGGCAGCTTTCTTGTGTGTCAAGTGAAAACTTCCTCACCCAACCCCGTAGTGCTGGACTCACCCTGAGCCAAGCCAGGTCTCCTCCCACGTCCCTCACGTTAGGCAGCCTCACCCCATCTCTTACAGGAATACCCAACCTACACAACGTGTGCCTTACCGAGGCTCTCTTGTTTGCAGACACCTGAAACACAACACATATGCATTTTTATGGCCAATTTGGACAAAGTCATCCCTCCAGATGGTAACTGCAACTTCTAGATAAGACCTGACATGTGACAACCTAAGAAACACCAAACTGAGGAGGGAAGGAAGGAATTGTCCATTTTCAGACGCCAGCGTGGCTACATATACTGACACTGTTGCACAAACACAAACAATTTTATCTGGAACAGTTGCCTCTTGGTAGTTGTTCCATTACCTGTAATTGATTATGCCAGAGCTTGCAGCCTCTATGATCAGAAAGCAACTTCCTCTGTGTGTTTTTGAATCAGATTAATAAAGGGAAACAATATTTCTACTGAGAAAGCCTCTTGGTATGTATTATTTCCTGAAACCCTGAAATTGACTTTTGTTACCTTGCTGGTGTTTCTTACCCCATGAAACTTAACATCAGCCTTTCAGACAACTGATATGTCCGTGGCCACATTTTCAGTTGTTGAAATACTGGGATGTGTTGGGAAACAAAAGAGTACTGAAACACCCACTAACAACGTCCTGCAGGTCAGAACCTCATGCACTTTCTAAATAGGTCAGGGTTTGGTCCAAGAATCTGGTGTTTCTTGAAGATATCCTTTACATTTCCTTTATATCTCTATTTCATTCTCCATTCAGTCACAGAGCCTGCATGCTGGATTTATTTGTTTTACATTTTTTTTGCTGTCCAATTTGCTGCCAAATCATCATCTCATATTGCTGTCTTATATAAACGTTAACATTAGCAAGCTTCACAATAACAGCCTGGAAAGGAAACATTTACTTCTGAGCTTTCCCCTGCCAAACAAATGTACAGCGTTTGCTTTTTTTGTGGCTACTGGTTAAGGCCATGGGATATAAAATTATAATGCTGTATGCAGTGTTAGTCTATTACAGTTATGATCACTGTAACATGCACTTCAACATATTTATTGTTTTGCTTTTAAATTCCTACGTTCAGTGTGGAGGACACGAGTCCCCATTCCCTCACATAATCTCCATAGCTCCTTGAAAGTCTGCAGGAAAAAAACAACTCCATTTTTAAGCTCTACTTTCTTGTTCTGGGTGACACATAGTGAAAGCATCGGTGTTACTTTTCTGTCCTGAAAGGAGGGGTGACGGCGTGAAATGGAATAATGATGCAAAAGTACAAACGTATGCAGAGAGCTTGAACAAGAAATAAACGAGTGTAACCCGCAGCTGGGCAGCACGGAAACACTGGCCTGTCCTAAAATCAGACGTGCCTCTACCCCGAGCTCCCTCCGGGAGAAAGCACCAGTGCGTGTCCACCAGCGTTCCGTGTGTGGAATTCAGTTTGTGCCTGATGAGTTGGGGACAACACTTTTCAGAAATTGTAGTATGCGAGTGGTACGTCATTGGCTTCCTCTGCCCCTCGGCGGGGCCCTTCAGGTACCTAACTCGCATGAGGAGGATTCAGCCGGAACCGGGGGACACTTGCGCGGGCCCCAGTGCCGAGGCCAGCAGAGCCCGGCTGGCCCCGGCAGCTGCTCCG